CAATAATGAAATGGACTGGACTACAAAACCGAAACGCATATCTAAAATAATAATATTAATTGCAAGAAAACATTTCAGCGTCCCCTCTCCCACTTATGTACATGCGTAATCACATCAGCATAAAGAGCACTTCAGTCCAATGAAGTTGTAAAGGACAAGACAGCACACACGAACACTTTTTACAATATCCAAAACACACACACATATATATATATATATATATATATATATATATATATATATATATATATATATATATATATATATATATATATATATATATATATATATTAATTAAACAATATATGCATTTATTTTCATCTATGCGCCAGAACATTTGAGAAATCTGCTCTCCCGTCCGGAAATACATAAATAAAAGGTTCAATAAAAGAAATGAAAATATGGACATGCACTAAAAATTACACACACACACACGCACACACACACACACACACACACACATATATATATATATATATATATATATATATATATATATATATATATATTGAGGCAATAGATAAGTTCATCTCACAAATATTGCATAAATCACGAGGCCAAACAATTTTTTTTATTTGACTGCAAGTAATTATTATTTGTAAAATATATTGAAATATCCTGAGCTCTGTGCAATATTAAGAAACGAATTGAGAGTTAAAAGAAAAAAAATAAGAAAAACAAGAAACCCCAAAATGACAGTTCTGTGTTATATTAATTGAAATTAATAATTTATCTGATTATATATATATATATATATATATATATATATATATATATATATATATACATATATATATATATATATATATATATATATATATATATATATATATATATATATATATATATATATATTTGATATAGCTTATAGATTTGATATAGCTATGATTGTATTGATATATTTATGGATTAAATTGCTCCGTATCAGGGATAAGGAGTATGTGAATATAATAGTGTACATTGATATCAAAATCCAGATTCGACAGTTTGTTTCATGCTAAACGCAATAGCCAGGCATGTCGATTGTCTATATGAAACAGACTGTCGCCAGTTGGTATTACCTTCAATTTACACACACACACACACACACACACACACACACACACACACACACACACACACACACACACACACACACATATATATATATATATATATGATTGATACAAATATAAAATTATAAAATTAATTACTTAGGAGATGGAAGTTACATTCAGCATCCAACTTTAGAGTTTCTTCAGGAAGAAATCATATATATATATATATATATATATATATATATATATATGAGAATGAGGTATGGAGATAGAAAGAGAGAGATGTATGTGTCAGTTCGCGCGCGGGTGTGTGAGTGTGTTTGTGTGTGTGTGTTGTGATATTAGCCGTTTTCTAACATGGAAACAGTCATCCGGGATTTCTTTAATGACAGTACCACAATGTCATTACACTACGATTCAGTTATTTTTTGTTCAAAGCTTTTAACTGATTTTAATTATCTTGAGAATTCTTTATTTAAATATTAACAATCAAACGCCATTTTACTGCTATTCCCCGATACACAGCTTCTTTCCACATCAAATTCCCGTTCTTTGAGTGTCAAATTTCCCAGGCCATTTTACCACATTATGTGCTGTATAAATTCCTGCTCTCCCTTTTTGATGTTTAGTATGAGTGTCCTTTCTGTTTCCGTTTTCTCTAAGATTTCGTTGTTATGCCAGAGAGCTGCAGCTGTAGGAAGGATTGAAACCGCGGAGCAGCTTTTACACTTCGCGCTACCACAATTACTGAATAGTCATTCTTAGTAGCTCTATCGACTGAATCAGACACTGACATATCTTCAACGTGACAGCGCGTAAGTAAAGTTTATCGCGAAACCTTCCTGACAGCCGGCAAAACTCAACGTCAATCCAAACGCTTGTTACCATCTTAATTGGAAACGGCAATAGGAAAGTTCAGAGGCGTGTTTTAGCGAGACGACGGGGGAGACGAAAACCGAATCACGTATTATCGGGTAAGTTTCTTCACTGATCGCAAGCAGAAATCAGCTCTTTGGCTTCTTCTGTCCACTTGCGCTCTTCATTCCTATTTTAGCCCTTTGCCAGACAAAACTGCACACGTAATAAATACTGAAGACGGTCCTCAGCAGATAAGTTAGTAATGGTTGATTCTAGTTTGCACGTTTCTTTCTTGCTTTTTCTATTTTACCTTATTCGTTAAAACTTTTGTTAATATCTATAAGCGACAACAATGAAATCGTCAATACTTAATGTTATATCCAAAATCAGTAATTTACCTACAATTCTTTGGCGTAAAAAAATTGACACGTTTTCTGTTTTAATACTTTTCTATTAAACATTGGGCAAGTGGCCGAGTGGTTAGAACGTTCGTATTCTGACCATAAGACCCCGTTTCGAATCCCAGCGTGCGACATCTTTGGAAAACCATACCACGGGTTGACCCAAGCCTTGTGAGTGAAATTGGGTATACGGAACCCTTGGATGCCGTCGATAGCTGTGCTAGCCGAGGGCTTGAGTGTGCTGGCCTTGTTTCAACTGTTGATCACGCTAGATAACACGCTCTTTCCCAGAACCTGTAACTAAGGTCTGCACAGCATAGTTTAAGTAAAAACCACAGGTGAGCTCTGTGGGTGTTGAATAAACACAAATACACCTTAGCAAGCGTCTTCAGTAGGGATTGGCTAGACGGGTAGACTCAAATGGCCAGCTATACTAAACATCTATGGCGATAATCAGATAAAACGGAAATGTTTGTTTAGACAACGCGTTTCGCCTGCATCCTCTAGTTGGAATGAGAGACAAACTTTGTGTTCACAGAAAGTGTGTAGGAATCTTTGAGAAAGGATTAATAAATAATAACTTCATCAGATACTATTGCTAGAACTATTTTTTTCGTTCTGATGCCGTCACCATCTCCTGGAATTAAAATAAGCCCACAAGTAGATCTGTTTTTCTTATATTAGTTCGAATAACGTAAGCTGCGATTACTATTTGCGAGGATATAATAGGAACACTTAGTTGACCTAAATAAATTATGAGATTAGTACACTGTATTCTCTACTTAGATAGTTTTCATCCTAATTAAACTGGCATTTATTAGGTCGAAATTGGGGTCAAATATGTAACAAGTGCATTTAAAGTGTTGCCACGCAGTATATCTCTTCGATAATATCTTTTTCATAGGTTTCTAGATGTTTCGCCAATGTACACCACTGGGAATTGTGCACAATTTAATTTGTATATATTCCTAGTTCTGTTTTATTGTTATTGCTATTCCGCTTGGTGCTGACTATATAATTTATAGTTCTACTAGCACCCATACTTATTATTGTCAATATTACAAATGATATGTTAAAAAATGATGCAAAAAGAAAAAGACAAAGAGATTGTTAAAAGTTGGAAACTGGTGTCGAAAAGACGAATATTAAATGAATAACCCGGTGGATAAACAAAGTGGGTAGATGACAGCTGATTCGAGTAATGGCGACCAATGTTTACATATAGAAGCAAGTAGAATGAGGAATTCTATTCCAACATAAAATAACCATGCAAGGATACAGAAGGCGCTTATCTCCCTTTAATAGAGATAAGTCACGTGGATTCCATGACGCCACTTCGTGACATCACCCATTACAGTGATCAAAGTGGCAGTCATTTCCAGTTCGTGGACTGCAACCAAACGAGATATTTGCTTTGTTCTAGCTTGCGCTAAAGGGCACAGGCTGAGGCTAAATCGGCCTCGTCGAGCAGCTTACAAGCATATGGTGCCGTTTCCATTTGGGACATAGATGAATCCGGCTTGTTTAAATCGGGATTCCTTAAAATGGCTTCTCCAGGATTCGAGTATCTCCAAATTATATGTAAGACCTTTCTTTTTTTTTTCCTCCTTATACTTTACTTTGATGTGTACATAATTGTGATTTCTCGGCATGGGTATTCGTATATATATATATATATATATATATATATATATATATATATATATATATATATATATATATATATATATATATATATATAGTTTTGTGTATGTCGTAGTATATAACAGTCTCTTTGAGAACAAAGCTTGTTTGTCATTCCTTTTTTTTTTCAGCCATTATGTTCCGCCCCGTTTGTGAAAAATCTGTTTTGTTATATAACGGTTATTCTAATGTCCATAACGGGAGAAGCGTAAATGAGAGAGTAAATCTTTCTTCCAAGCCCACTCATTAGATCATGGAGAAACGAGAAAAAAATGGGAAATCTTTTAAATGACAACGCGTTTCGCCTTCCTGTGATACGTTGTTGTATTCAGGTCATAATGAAATACAAAACAATGTAATTTGTATTAAACCCGGTAATTTGTATTGGATATGAAATTGCAAGGGTAGCTGGAATAGTAAAAGATACCTTACAAAAAGCTAAACAACGTATTAAGAAACAGGAGGATTTTTTTACAAATCAAGAGAAGAGTACTTAACTGCTATGCAGAATTAATCTTCCTATATAGCAGTGAATAATGGAGAATTTCTTCGCAAATGTACAGGAGATTTGAGGCAACAAAGATGTGGTTCTCCAGGATGATGCTCAGAATACAATGGACTGAGAATATGAGCAAAGAAGAAACACAAAATAGAAAAAAAAGACACTTTCACTTGAAATAAGAAAGAAATGAAATTTCAGAGACAGAGAATGAGGAAAGACTGATAGGAGAATTTGACACACACAAGAGATACTAAATAGAAAAAATTTCAGAGCGAAACAGGGAGTAACCTACCAAACAGAAATGGATAGCAGAATCGGAAGTTGGAAATATATTAAAAAACAGGAAATATTGCAAAGACCTTAGAAATTGTTGGAAGTTGTGGAGAGTGATGAACACATACGTCACGAATACACGCAGTTTTTAACTTATAATAGGAAAACGATTTTAGTTTGGTGATTTTGCTGTCTGATCAATCAAAAGTGAATGCGTGTCATTCGATAAAGTGATAAAAATGGGTCTTATAAAAAGGAGAAATAAAATGGCGGAAAAAAGAGAAAAGAAATGTAAAAAGGAGTAAGAAAGAGAAGCCTGAACAGAAGAAAGAAGTCCAAAAGACAGCATTTAAAAGCTAAAAACAGGGAAGAGAGAAGAGAAACAATCAATGAATAAAAAAAGGAAAAAAATAACAACA